CCCCCATGGCGTGGTGAGGAAGGTTTGGTGTCCCCGCCGTGGCATGACAAGGAGAATTCCCTGTGTCTCCAATGGCATAATGAGGAAGGCCCCAGGTGCCCCCATGGCATGGTGAGAAGGGTTTTATGTCCACTCCCTATAGCATGGGGAGGAGAGTTTGGTGTGCCCCCATAGCATGATAAAGAGGGCTTGATGTCCCTCCCCACAGCATGGTGACAARGGTTTGGTGTCCCCCCACAGTGCAGTGAGGAAGGTTTGGTGTCCCTCCTCCATGGCATGTTGAGGAGGGCTCCGTGTCCCAMCTGGCATGGTGTGGGGGGGGTCACTTCCAACACAGGCATGGGGGCTTCTAGGGCTTTCCTCTCTGCAGGGTACGAGGGTCCCCTTGTACCACTGTATGGGGACTTTACGTCCCCTCATGGCATGGTGAAGAGGGGTTGGAAATCTACAGGTTCCTTATCTGCCCTGTTAGGGTTCCTATCTGCAGGAACAGCAGACTAAAGCAAACTTAGCAGGGCCTCCAAGCCCCAGGCACCGATCAAACGCCAATCTGCTGATTCCTGTGGCAAACTTGCTCCATTTTTGCTTGATTTGGGTTTTTGCGGGTGCCAGTATGCTGAGCGGGAGGGAGTTTCCCCCTCTGGCGCTGGGGGCAGGTCAGGATCAAGTCCGAGAGCTTTTTGGGTGCCGGCCTCGCAAGGGAGATGAAAGCGGGGTTGCTGAAACCGCTGCGGGTCCTTTCACCGGCTTCATAATGTTTTGTAGTGAGTCTTTACAGTAAAATCCCAGTYCCAGTGGGAATAGGGGCTTCACCAGGTAACCGGAGGCCCTAGAAACGTGGATTTATAGACTTGGTATTGTCGAGTGTCCTATCTCCTGACATCGCACCACACAATGYCCAGAAAACCAGCAGAAAAGCAGCTGTTCCTTCCCAGATAACCCTTGTTCCCTGCACTCTTCCTAGACTCAACAAGAGGCCGCTCCCGGAGGAGCTCTCACCAAAACAAGGGGCCACATTCCTGCCTTTCCCTGCTCCCGCAGAGACCGCCTATTTCTCCGGACTGCGCAGATCAAGGCCAGCGCTCGCACGGCTGCCAGGCTATGACATCTCAGAGCCGGTCTCATGATTCCTGCTAATGCCACAAAAGAACCATTATTGTATTAGCATCTAGACACAGTATTAGATTAATCCCTGGGCCACCCAGCAGATGCTTAGGAAGACCGCGAGTCCCCTTAGGCTGAGCACACGCTGGCCTAGAGCGTTCCCACAATGTCCTCGTGGCTTCTGCTTGCTGTTGACTTTCTTTGGGGAGAAAGTCGGTAGCAACCTGGCACTCATGCAAGGCAAGCAGCCTAATTCACGTATGCTGGTTGATGTTAGCAAACCAAAACGTGAAATCCAGCGTGGATGCGGCACCACAGCAAATGCTATTAGCAAATACAGCGTGCAAGGGATCTTACTTATGCATTTGTTTCATGCATACCCTGCCAGAGGAGCTTGGCTGTGATGGCTCGGCTCCAAGCTCTCTAATACATTACTGGGAATAATGCAAATGAAACACTTAATATTAGTCTGTAGCTCAAGGAAAGGGAGCGATTTCTGCTGCCAGATTAGAAGTCGGGCATGGGCCTGCATGCTACGAAGCAGAGCTGTCATGCTGAGTGATTTCTTAAGGAAAATGGCTTTGCAGCTGCTGCCAGATGACGACAGCCTGGGTATTAATGTTATCACAACCAAGTGCCTCTTGGAACACAACCCACGGGCTGCAGCACGTGCTGCAAAGTGCACCAGGGATCATGTCATCCTTCCCCAAACGTGGCCAGTTCAAGGGGAGACACAACTTGGAGGCAAAAGCAAACCCCTGCCCTCCCCTTTTGGGCACGATTCAGCAGCCAGAATGGAGCAGTTCCAATTTTTTTTTTTTTTTTTTAAATAAATCTTACTCGATTGTGCTGCGTGTTTTGCCTATTTAAACCACTAACTGAATTATTTAGATGCGCTGCAAGTGTGCCCTGCAGCTGGGCTCGATGGGCAAAGTCCAGCAGCATTGGCAGGAAGCGATATCCCGGCAGCACGGAGCAGACTGACTCGTCCGTGGCAGCTCTGCCTTTGTGTGTTGCACGGTCAGGCTTGACTGATACCCCTAAAAGCTGCCTCAAATGAGGAGGGTAACAACAGCAAAGCACCGTCCTGCCATGCAGCATCCAGCCCTGGGAGCCGAAGGTCCATGCAACGTGACTGACTTTGGGATTTCTGYGTCCAGGCATGTGAAAAGCCATAAAACCAAGACCATTCCTGTTGCTTTTGGGCCTGGTTGTCTCATCTCTTGCAGCAACCTGGCTATGGTATTCACCTTCTATTTGCACTAGAGTTTTTGCTTCCTATGGAAGCATGTGAGGAAATACAAGATGCTTTTGCAAAAGCTAGTCCCTTTTAATGACTAGCTCCTTCCTGGAGAAGAAAGAGACCCAGTAAGAGAGAACTAGATGACTACGTGATGTCTAGGGGTCCCCTCCAAACTCAGCTATGCTGTGATTCTGTGAACATCTCCCACCTATGCAGGGATGTGAATAGAGAAGGAAAGGAAGGGACAGCACTTTGTGGGTGCAAAGAAAAACGCAACAAATCTCCCACGTGGGCCGGCCGAGCAGGGCTGAGGCTGCTGCCAAGGAGGGCAGGGATTGAGCGGGGCTCCCGGAGCGGCTCCGGCTCTGGAAGGAGCTGCTATTTCCAGAGCAGGGTCACGCTCCGCGCCGGCTCGCCCAGCATCTGCCCTTGACTTCCCACTGTGTCTTTGGCAGCTCCAGCCCCGCGGCCTGTTTTTCTTCTCCTCCTGCCAAGGGAATCGCGCTGAAAGCGGCAGCTGCTTTGGGCGATATTAAAAGCAGAAGGGGCAGGAAGGGGCCGGCCAGGCGCCTCTCCCCRCGGTGTCAGGGCACCGCGCGTTGCTGACCTTGGCGGGCGAGCAAGGACTGACAGTGCCCTAGGCTCCAGCCTGGGCAGCAATGCAGAGCCATGCAAAGCACCCTTGGGTGCCCAGGGTAGGATGGTCCCTGCCTCTGGTTTAGCTCTGCCTGGCTTCCAAGCCCGGCGTTTCTTTGCTCYCGTCCCTGCAAAGACCAGACGGGCTCTGCTGAGGAGCATCGGGATGCGGAGGCGGTTGCACTGCCGTCGCCGCCAAGTAGGCTCCGTTTTGGGCTGCTAACCTGGCCCATCTGCAAGCAAAGCGGCTCCCAGAGCCGCTCCACAGAGGTGGCATCCCTGAAACCTGCCCTGCAAGACTGAGCAGGGACGGAGCGGGGACGGAGCCCATGAGAGCACCCACGAGGTGCGGAAGGACCCTCTGCCCTTCCTGGGGTTTAATCCCATGTTCTCCCCACATGTCTCAGCCTCAGGATCCCTTCTCTCCCTCCATACACAGCCCAGYTGGCTCCCCGTCCCTCCCCTGTGCCTGGCTTTGCCAAGCCGAGCTTTGCGCTGAGCCGCGGACGCTGCAGCGGCTCCCGCTGCCGACACCACCTTCCTTGTGGAAGGCACTTAAGCCATAACACGTTGGTGCTTAAGCCATAACACGCTGGTGCTCTCACGGCAACGGGGTAAACACTCGAGGAGCACGCGGGCTTTGACTCACTGTGGTCCAACCGTTGGGTGCTGCAGTTCCCCACAGAGCAACCGGGTTGCACAAAAAGGACGAGAAGGCCACGATTGCTAAACTGCCCTGACACTGGGGTGCTGCACGTGCAACCTTCAGCGTTCGCTCGAAAGAGAAAGAGCCCGAGGGAGGCTGGCTCCGGGGACGAGCCACTAAAAGAGGGAAGATATTGCAAAAGCCTGTTATAGAGCTCGGAGCCTTCCTTCCCTGTAACCTTTACCCACCTACGCAGAGCTGGTAGGAAAGYGAAGCCTTTCCCTGCGAGGATGCTAACTGCAGCCAGCTGGGTTTTTATAGCCCCTTTTTACAGGGGATCCAGGCTCTTTGCACACACAGCGTCATGTTCCACCCGTGCCCTGCAAACAAGGGGCATTTATTTACCCATCTACTGAGTTTCCACCTTGCTACCTCTACCGTCAACTGTCCCAGCAGTTATCAGCGTTTTCCTGCTGATAACAACGGCCTCCAGCAGYCCGTATGGTCCTAAGACACCTGCAGGCATTCTTCGGTTGTTCTTTCTAAAGCTCCGRCTCTACCTGCTGCTTTCTCTGAGCTTGTCCTGCCTCCGCCTTGAAAAACCCAGCCCAATAATTTAAATCCACAGAAGATGCAAGAAGGAGTTGGGGAGATGCCTGTAATTATGATTAATGCCATGCAAGAGGTCCCATTAAGCCCGGTGCTTTGCTCACCTGGCACTCGGTGCACGGGATGATCAGTGCATCATTACTCAGGGATTACTGCTGGGGTGGCCACCCTTTCCCCAACACTTTTCCCGGTGTTTTTTCTCCTGGAACACTCCAGGAGCAGGAGCCAGCACAAATGTGAAGCTGCAAGATCTTCGTGCTGCATTTGCGCCGCCCTGGACCTGATGTTCTCTGGGACGTTGCACCATCCACACAGAGGTTCTGCATAAAACGAGAGCACAGCGAGCACGAGGCACAGCCCGCGAAACAGCATCGCGTCTGGCTGCAGCACTCCAGCTTGTCCTGGCCCAAGGTTGCAAAAACTGTATATTTTCCCCCCTGGTTGCAATAGCACTTGGCTTTGCCCCAAATGTCATGTGTAAATAGAGGGAATCAAACTGACCATTTTGTGTGGGTTTTATGCAGGTGAAAGGGACCGGGTGGGTGACCTGGAGCCGGATGGGCTGATGAGGAAAAGCAAAACCATCAACTCCTAGCAATCGGCACCGGGGGCTGCTGTGTGTCCCACACACCCCAGGAACCCAGGGTAGTTCCCAAAATGATGGGAATGAAGGAAAACAAGCAGGGCTGTCTTCCTGCAAAACCCTGGCCTTTCTGCCCAGCCACGGCTCATCGGAGCAGCTGGGACGACCCTGTCCCGAGGGCAACGAAGCTGTGGGTTTGGGCTTGCAATCCATGAGCTCCATCCCYTCCGCCCCAAGGGATTTCCCTGCGTTCCGCGGCTCCCATGGAGCACGGATGTGCGGGCTCCGAGCCCTCGGCAGCGATGCCAGGGCCACGTGCGCCCTCCCCGCTCCTGAGTCACTTGCTCCTTGTTCGGACCCGATCCCGTGGAGATACCAGAAGGGCCTTTGCCCCTTGAGCCGCTCCACTTTCGAGGACTGGGCGGTTCTTCCTCGGGATGAATGGAGYTGCGCTCTGCTCCAGCATCTGCATGTCCCCTGCATCCTGCTGGAGACCCTGGACATCCCGGAGGGCTCCCGGCTTCCTGGGAGAGCTGGGACCACACGCGGGTGCTCCTGGTCTCTGCTGCCACCGCCACCCTGTGCAGTCGCCCATCCTCCTCCTGCTCCTGGGTGGCTCCAGCTGCATTTCTCCAGCCTCTCCAAGGGAAAACGGGCAGCAGCACCTGCATGGAGGATGGAGTTGGACACAGGAGCTGCTTAAGAAGAAGAAAAAAAGGTCATTTCTTCATCAGAGCAAAGCAAACATGCAGACACCTTGTGGGCRGCAAGGGAGGGACAGAGGAGGAGCAGCTTGGAGGAGCACAAAGGCTCTTTCTGTTGCAAGGGAAATTCCTGCTGGGAATGATCCCAGGGCAGGAGCACCCTGTCCTGAGCCTCGGAGCGGGGATGAGCTCAGCTGCAGGGGTGGCTCCGCAACCGGCAGGAGCACGAGATGGAAATTAGCGCTGCGGCCACGCGGGCTCCGAGTTGCTCAGCCCCGAGAATCAGCCAGGAACGCGGTGAGGACTCGCAGGCCACGGCTGGAAAATCGGCACCTTCCAAAGACATGGCCAGRGAGGCTGTCATGGAGCCAGGCGGTGCCGCTGGAGCTTGGAAAAAACCCCTCCTCCTTTAGGGATCTGTGCGGGAAAGGAGGCTGGAGAGCTGGGGGTCGTTGGGCGCATGGGCTGCCTGGGACCAAGCTCCATAAGCAGCAGCTCTCGGCTCCTCTCGTGGCCAAAGCCACCAGGATGGTGCAACAGGCCTGGGACGTCTCCAAGGACCAGAGTCCAGGACAGGGCGAGCTCCTTTCCTGGCAGGATTCCCTGGGCGCTGGCAACGAAACCAGAGCCCACGTGGGGAACGTGCCCCCGCGGACCGGGCGGCTTCTTTCTTTTTCTGCCGTTATCGATGAATTCSTTTTAATGATTCCAGCTAAGAACCCCCTCCTGGCTGCTGCCTGCCAGGGCAGATCAATGGAGCTGCATTAGCAGCAGCTGCAGAGGCAGAAGGTCCCGGGCAGCGGCGGCAGCGATCGATCGAGTTCACCACGACCTCGCGCCGCGCGCAGGGCACCGGAGTCTGCTCCGAGCTGCCAGGGGCTAGGCCTGGGCTTATAACTGTCCTGGGGCCTGGCTTGTAGCTGTCCTGACGGAGCGGGTAGGGAATGGGAATTGGAAACACGGATGCTTTGATCCCACTCATGCCATGCAGGAACCTGCTGCCCCACAATGTTTCCCCATGGAGCTGGGGCTCCGTGCGAAATTCCTCGCAGCTTCGCGTGGCCACGCTGTGTTGGTGTCACCAGCTGGGAAAACTCCATTCCCGCTGCCCTGTTCCCAGCTGACGCCTCCCTGCGCTCCAGAGGCCACACGGACCGGCCGCTGGCTCCCGCTTGCCCCATGGGGGTGACACAAGCCGCGACCGGGAACGATGCCCTGAGCTCAGCCCGCTGCTCCAGGCTCGTTTTCCTCCTTGGGTGGGAAGAGCTGCTGCTCCGTGCATGACAGAAATCCTAATGAGAGCAACGCCGGGCGGAAACGCTGCATGGAAACCACAGCAGGAACCTTGCGGACATTGTCCCGGCATGGGGAATCTGCACGGATGGGCCTGGCATGAGGATGGCTTCATTCCAGGGCCCCAACCTTGGATGCTCTGGGCTGGGTTTCTGCAGGTGAYGGGGATGCCCGGCCAGCAAACGAGCCCCAAGCTGCGTTTCCCCCTCCGGCTGCTGCTCAGAGCCACGTCAGGGCCGGCGGCCGCGGGGCTCTGTGCGGAGGCTCCATGGAACGGCGGGGACGGTGACATCGGCCGGGATGGTGACATCGGCCGGGAGCTGCCGCACGGGTGTCAGCGCTGCCTGTGTCCCCACCTAGAGGAAGGCACAGGGCAAAGACTGGGCACAGCGCGGGATGGAAGCGGGAATGGACAGAGGGATGGAGGGAGGGATGCAGGAATGGAGGGAGGCAGGGAGAGAGGGATAGAGAGAGGGATGCAGGGAGGGATGGATGGAGGAATAGAGACAGGGATGCAGGGAGGGAGGGAGAGGGATGGAGAAAGGAATGCAGGGAGGGAAGGAGGGAGGCAAGGAGGGAGGGATGTAGGGGGGATGCAGGGAGGGATGCAAGAAGGACTTTGTCCTTAGCGGAGGGTCCTCAGCGGGGTCCCTGCTGATCCTCTGTGTCCCACGGCACCAAGCCGCTTCCAGAGGGCTTGCTCCGGGAGCTGCTTTACCAGGGATTATCAGGGATTTCCCGGCCTGGCTGACCCGGGAGACACCTCAGGCTGTTAGTCCAGGGCGGGCGCAGCGATCCCGGCACGGAGCAGATGCGGAGCCCTCGGCAGCTGGGATGGTGCCGGCCACGGCCACGGCCTTCCCTGCTCCTTGGGGCGTTCTGGGCAGGGGGAAAGTGGCGGAGCTCCTGCCGAGCACAAAGCGGCCGCTGTCTCCAACGCGGCTCCCTCACCCAGGCGCTGAGCAAACGGCCAGCGAGAAACCGCTGCTGCTGCTCCYGCTCCGTCCCGGGGTCTGGGAGGGAAGGAATGGGGGATCTCAGCTGCAGGATCCAACCCCTTGGCCGCCTGCACTGTCCAAGGATGCTCCCCATGGGACTGGGGCACCCCCACAGTTGGGACCCMGGGTGGGATGTGTTTGTCACCCCTGGGTGATGCAGGACACCCRAAGGGACCTGCCTGTGGGATCCCGCGAGGATGAGGGGATCTGGGTCGGTGGGATCCGCGTGGGACCCCCGGGCAGGAGTTGACCCCCAGGTGGGGCTGGGAACCCAGGCTGAGCGATGCAGGGAGGGCGGATCCCAAAAGGCATCCCGGGAGCGCTGGGACCCGGGTGGGATACCCGGGCTGTGGGTGGGATTTGGGTGGGAGGCGACCCCGCCCCCGCCCGGCTCCCGATCCGAGGGACGAACCGCGGGCGGGGCCGGGGCGCGGGGGCGGGAGCGCCGGGAACCCCCCCAACCGACTGCGGCTGTGCTGCGAGCGCCGCGGCGAGCGCCGAACCGGCACCGAACCGGCACCGAACCGGGCATCGAACCGGGCACGGAACCGGGCAGCACCGAGCGCCGAACCGGCACCGAACCGGGCACCGAACCGGGCACGGAACCGGGCAGCACCGAGCGCCGAACCGGCACCGAACCGGCACCGAACCGGGCACCGAACCGGGCAGCACCGAGCGCCGAACCGGGCACCGAACCGGGCACCGAACCGGGCAGCACCGAGAGCCGAACCGGGCCCCGAAGCGGGCAGCACCGAGCGCCGAAGCGGCCCCGAGGCGGCGGCGGGCCGGGCCGCGGCCATGCGCGGCGCCGCCTGAGCTCGCAGCATGCGGAGGCTCCGGCGCCTCGCGCAGCTGGTGCTTTTCTGCCCGCTCCCCACGGGCCTGCAGGTACCGGCAGCCCGGGGGGGGGGTCCGCGGTGCGGGGGGGCGCCCGCGGCACCCCCGCCCCGGGAGCGGATCCGCAGCGCGGTTGCATAAGGAGCAGCTGGATGGTGGGGAGGGTGCAGCGGGGATGCGGAGCTGCCCGATGGAGGGATGGGAGAGCCCATCCATCCCCCCCTTCATCCATCCATCCACCCACCCACCCATTCCATGCATTCATCCATCCTCACATCCGTGCATCCATGTATCCGCAACTACATCCCTGCATCCATGYGCCTGCCCGGATAGCCGCCCAGGGCGCTGCAGCGGCGGGAATGCTCCCTTGTCTCTCCTGCTTTATCCCTCTCTTCCCTCCTCCTTGGCTGGCACCGGGGGCTGCTGCGGGGCGGGCGAGAGGCCCCGGTCCCGTCTGCACCGCRGGGAGGCTGCTGGGGCCGGGGGTCTGAGCCCGGGGTTTGCAGCCAGGGGGTGAGAAATTCCCCACCTTGCCCAGGCTCTCCYGGGAAACACGGCTCCGTGGGGAGGGAGGACGGACACAGGCAGACACAGGGATGCTCCGTGTGCAGCTGGAGCACCGGGATGCACAGCGGGCTTTGGCTGCCTGCAAGGACACCCGGGAGGAAAGGCCCCGGCGCCGCGGCCGGCACCAGGAGCTGCACCGGGAGCTGCAGTGGGCTCCGGAAGAGGCCAGGACAGGCTGAGGATGCTGCAGGGATGCGGTGGCCCCGGGGGGTGTCCTGCACCCCTCACTCTGCTAAGAACAGGGGCAGGGACAACTCGTGACCCTGTGGCCCCGACAGCGGCTGCAGGGAGCGGGGACGGCGGCTGCAGCGCCGGAGCAGCCTGAGGTCCCTTCTGCTACCCCTGCCTTAGTCCCAAGACTAAATCTGTCTGGCCACACAGGGAAGCAAAGGAGCCAGCCTGGCGCAGGCCCTCCACAGGTTTGCTTTGGATAGGCCAAAAACAAACAAAAACACACACACACACACAAAAAAAAAAAAAAAAAAACCACCCAAAAAGGACATTTTGATCCCTCCGGCATGTCACTATCCCCAGGACACGTCTGTGCTACCAAATGGCCCCCTTACCTGGAGTGGGGTCTTTATGGAGCAGCCGTGTCCCTCACCGAGGCTCCATCCATGGATCATGCTGTCACCTGTACCTTCTCCATCTGCTTCTCCTTCCCGAAGGGAATGGCAGCAGATCCAGGTGGTCCCGCGGAGCAGGGAKCCTGGCCCAGGGCGGCCTGGCTGGCCCTGGCTCCTCTGTGTCACCTCCCGGCTTTTAGGGAGCTTTAAGTGACCTACTTGCAGCAGGAGTTGCATAAGAGCCTGCTGAATACATGTCTATATATCTATAAAGGCTGAACTTGGCCCCAGYGCTCAGGTGTTTTGTAGAGCAGGAAAAGAAAATCCCCATGGGGACCCCGGCGTGAGCCGCTGGGATCCATGGGGAGCGGGAACAGATCCARTTGCCGCCCCAGTCCTGGAGCGAGACTGAAAGGGACACGATGGAGATGAGACACCCTGGATGCGGCGCGTTCCTCAGCCGCATCCCCTTCCCTTGCAGAGCCGCCTGCCTGGCATCAAGGTGAAGTACCTGCTGGTRCTCTGGCTGGGCATCTTCGTGGGCAGCTGGGTGGCCTACGTGCACTACGCGTCCTACTCGGAGCTCTGCCGCGGCCACGTGTGCCGCGCCGTCATCGTGAGTGCTCACGGGAAAGCCGGGAGCGCACGGGAATGCCGGGMGGGCGCGGGAACGCCGGGAGCGCGCTGGGCCCGCGGGATGGGGCAAAGCGCAGGCTGCACTTGCAAAGTGCCCAGATGGGTCCTCATCCCACCAGGATGCAGCATCTGCTGCTCCAGGCCTAGCAGAATGACCCTTTTCCCGCAAAAAAAGTCCTCTAGCAGGAAAGGAAAGCGCCCCAGGGAGCAGAGGGAGTCACCCACGGGTGGGCTGGGGGTCCCAGCAAACACCCGACTTGTGCTGTGTGCCCATTAATTGCTCGTTAGCTGTCAGTTTGGCACCCAGCTAAAGCAGGGGGCACCCAGCGATGTTGGGTGCAGGTTCCGCTGCTGCCTTGGGAATTTTGTGCCCTGGTCGGGAGCCTGGTCGTGGTGCCGGTGCTGGGGAAGGAGAGGGGCTTCTACAGGGGGGCTGCACCCCTCGGATCGTCCCCTTGCACCTCCCCGCCTTCTGTCCCCAGTGCGACCAGTACAGGAAGGGCATCATCTCGGGCTCGACGTGCCGGGAGCTGTGCGAGGAGCTGACCCTCCGCTTCCAGCGCTGCCTCTCCTCGTCCGCCGCGCAGCAGGTGGGTCCCGGGGGCRAACGGGCGCCAGCGCCCCCAAAATCGCTGCCCGCCGAGCTCTGCTCTTCCTTCCCGCCGGTCTTTCCGCCAGGTCTACAGCGGGCTCTGGAAGGACARGGAGGTCGTCATCAAATGCGGCATCGGGGAGGCCCTCCGGGCCGGGGGCAGCCCGGAGGCGGCGCCGCGCCGGGACCTGGTTCTCTTTGACAAGCCGACGCGCGGGACGTCCATGGACGAGTTCAGGGAAATGCTCCTCAGCTTCCTCAAGGTGAGTGTGGCGCGTCCCTCCGGGAGCCGCCAAGGCCTGCAGGGCTGCTTTAGTGGGAAGGAGGCCAAGCAAAACCCACGTTCYCTTTAAACAAGGGCCTCCCGGGGGGATGCGGCTCCCTGGGACATACGGATCAGCCGCGGTCCTTGCAAGGCGGCTGCTGGTCTGTCCCATGTCCACAACGGGTATCCCCCAAACCCGGAGCCCCCCAGCCAAGAGCGATTGTGATACCCGATCACAAGACACTAAATGGACCGAATTCAGCCCCGGATCCCGTCAGCTCTAAGCGCCAGGGATGCCCCGTCCAGCACGAGCTCCGAAAGGCTCTTTCCCATCCAAGCATTGAGCAGCCCGGAGGCTGCTGCAGCTCTGGGGCAACAAAACTTGCCCAGCTGTAAAATAACACAGAATCCGCTTTACCTCGGTGGCCGCTGCATCCTCCTCCAAGCCGAGCGCCCAGCTCCCGGTTTTCCCAGTTCATTTTCACCGCGCTGCCCCTGAGCTCCGGGAGCTTTAAGGGCCCTGATGCCCCTTCTCTTGCACCTGCAGTCCAACCTCGGGGAGCAGCCCTCCCTCGCAGCCCTGGTGGGCCAGATCATCGCCATGGCAGACGTGAACAGGGACGGGAAGGTTTCCTTGGCRGAGGCCAAATCCATCTGGGCGCTGCTGCAGCTCAACGAGTTCCTGCTGCTGCTCTCGCTGCACGAGAAGGAGCACGCGCCCAAGCTGCTCGGCCACTGCGGGGACCTCTACGTCACCGAGAAGATCCCCCACAACTCGCTGTACGGGACGGAGGTGCCCCGCGTCCTGCAGGCGCTGCTGCCCTCCGCCGTCCACCGCCTCGTCCACCAGTGGTTGGCGCCGGCGTGGCCCCGCCGGGCCAAAATCGCCATCGGCCTCTTGGAGTTCGTGGAGGAGATATTCCACGGGACGTACGGGACCTTCTACATCTGCGACGCCAGCTCGGCCAACGTGGGCTACAACGACAAGTACGACTTCAAAATGGTCAACCTGGGCACGGTGGCGACGGAGGCGGCGGTGAGGGCCTTCCTCAAGGGGCGGCACTGCGAGCAGAACGGGGACTGCACCTACGGCAGGGACTGCACGGCCTCGTGCGACAAGCTGCTCAAGCAGTGCAAGGGCGACATGGTGCAGCCCAACCTGGCCAAGGTGTGCGCGCTGCTGCAGGACTACGTGCTGCACGGCGCGCCCGCCGAGCTGCAGCACGAGCTGCAGAAGCAGCTCCGCACGTGCACCACGCTCAGCGGCCTCGCCAGCCAGATGGAAGTGCATCACTCCCTCGTGCTGAACAACCTCAAGACCTTGCTCTGGAAGAAGATTTCCAACACCAAATATTCCTAGCGGGGGAAGCAGCGGGACGGGGTTTCCRGGCTGGTGTTGAGCACGGGATTAGAGGGCTTGGTTTCTCCGTCCTTGGCCCCGTAGGAAGACGTCGGAGCTCCGCGTTTTGCAGCCCCTTCTGCTTCGTGACAAGCAGCACATCGTGACTTCCAGCACCCAGCAGCATCATCGACACCGCGTTTTGGCTCTGCGCTGCACAGCGGGAGCATCCGGAGCCTGGGGACAGGCTGGGGGAGGAGGACGAGATAGGAAGAGCTYGGGAGCCCGAGCCCAGGTGGGAGCATCCAACTTCCACCCGCCTGCTTCTCCGTCAGCAGGAAAGCAGCGCAGAAAGGCGAGAACGAATCACTCATGCTGTACTTGCCACTTCTTATTTTGATGAGCAGCTCTGATGTAAATAAAAAGCTTTTCCATGAACCRCACCACTACATCGACAGCAAAACAGCAGCCTCTTAAATACCAGCTTTTTGGGGAACTAAGAGAGGAAGGTAAAATTTCCCTACCCCGAAGTGTCCGAGTCATTTGCCATAAGATCCAGCTGTAACTTCGGAAGCAAAATCAGCCACCTTTCCCACACAAGAGAAACCTGCCACTTGTGTCGCTCCTTGGGAAGAAGGGCTACAGCCAAGGGCTGCAACACAAACCCTTCTGACAGGTTATATATGCTCCATTACTCCATATATATATGTGTGTGTATATGTACACAGACACACCTATATATATTATATATACACACACACACACACACACGTGTATATATATATATGCTCCCTGTCACTTTGCATCATACTAAACCAGCCTGCCCTTCAAGGATAAGTCAACCTCTTAATTCCCTTAAAATTAATCTAGGCTTTGCAGAGGTTAAAGATTAATACCAGAGCAACCTGCTGCTTCTCCCATTATTAGAATGAATTTCCAGGCAGCCTTGGGACAGCTGGCGAGACGCTTCCTCCTTCGGCTGCGCAGGTATCAGCAGGTCTCCAACTGCAGTCCCGTTTGCTTTCAATGCTCCGTTTTTCCACTTTTTAAGACCTTTTAACCTTAAGGCTGAGCGAGGTGGAGCTCGATCTCCCATACAGCTGTGGAAGGGGATGGAGGTCCGGGGCTGGCAGGATACCCGGSCTCCAAAGGCCTTCCTGGACCTCAYGGCTCCCAATTACGAGCCCTTTGTGGGGAGACACCCCTACTGGCCCCCATTAGCCCCATAGGATCATTACCTGTCACATTACTTACAGAGAAAATATACCAGTATCAGCAGGGATCTCTATCCAGCCCCAAAGCGCTGCAGTTGGCTTCCCATGGAGAACCAGCTTCCCAAGGGAATCTCGCCYTGGCAAGGCCGAGCGTCCTTAGGCTCTGTTCTGAATGAAGACAAGACCCCACAGTGCCCTTTAATTGCATATTCCCGCTTTAATTCCTTATTTCCAGCTCAGGTGCTGGACCAGTTCACAGAGCTCCGTGTTAATCTCCCGTTTGCGAGGGCAAACACTGTTTTTTTTAAGTGACACATGTAGCTACCACAGCCTTTATTCCATTGTCCTCCATCTCCATGGCAACCAGCTCTACTGGCAAATTAGTTTTCTTCTGCTATTAGAAAGAAGAACTTAAATATTCCAAACCTTCCATTCAGGTTTTCCAGGAAGTTATTTTTGGTCCTGCAGTCTCTGTTTCAATTCCTATTGTGAACTTTTTCCCTAGAAAAATGGAACTTCCTCAATATATTACTTCCTCCACCCCAAAAGCAACATTATCAGACAAAGCAGCCACAAAGAGGGAGGAAAAACGACCATGTTCCTTCTTTATCCACATAATCCCAAACACTGGAATCTTTTCAGCATCTATGATAAAAAGATTAACTTCAAGGARAGAGACAAAGTACTAAACAGAACTAGTTAAGACGGCTTTATTCAAATAAAGACATTTTTGACAAAAACCTCTCACGTTTCCATCCTTGTCATTAATTCTGACTTAGTGTGGGAGTTTGAACCCGTGCATGAGGAAAGATGCAGCTCCAGGAATCTTCAAATGCCGACACTGCTGAGCTCTGATTGCTTTTGCTGGAGCCAGGTGTGCTCAAAATCCTAAAACTCCTGGTGTGAGCTGCAAGTAAAAGGAAGCCCCCCAGGATGTTAGAAATAACTTCAACAGCCAGCAATCTTTTCCAATTCCAAAGCACTTAGAAAATCTAAGTTGTACTTTTGCTGTACTTGGTTTCTACACCCTATCCCTCCACAGCTGTAGATCCTTCATCTTTCATGATATTATTATTAATTAACTACAATGTTAAAGGAGAAAAATAAACTGAGAAGCAATTGTCAGGCCGTGGATCATTCCTGAGCACCCACAGGTCTGAGAGCACCAGCAAAGACAGAGCCTTTTCCTCTCTGCCACCTAATGACACAAATGTGACACAGAAGTCACACTTGCAACACATGGGGCATGGAGCTGAGCAACATAAACTCTGCAGGACCAGTGCTCACCTCTGGTCTTTGTGGAAACACGGCAGATCAAGAAGGTTTTCATGTTTCCCTGAAAAGAAAAACTGATACATACATAGAGCATCCATAGGAACTATTCAGACATACTTCAGTGCATGGTGATGTGGGTGTTGTTTCACTGCTGACCCAAGCCAGTGCACAAGGCAAATTAAATATACGTAAGTACACAAAGGCAGCACGTTTTTACCTTCAGAAGAGGAAGAAAGTCAGCGCCACAGGCACCCAGCTCCCTGCATCTGCTCCCCCGGTCACCAGCTGGCCACGTGGCTTTGGATCATTTCAACTCACAGTCTTCCATCTGCAATACAAGTACAAACCTACATGCTAAGTGTGCCTACAGTTTTTGAGATTATACAACAAAAAAAGCCCTGCAGCTTTTCTGCTACACATTGGCTCAATCGATATGGGACAAAATTATTTTTTACTGCATGCAGAGCTCACTTGCATCAGAACAAAGGAACAAAGGGGAAAGAGAAACAGGAGAATTTTAGTTTCTCAGGAGCCTCCTCAAAACCAGTTTTTTCGTAACAGTGTCAGGCTATTAATCACTCTGAATGCTCACAGGTCGCAGAGCAAACGAGCGTAGAACAGTCTGTTTCTCTCTGCCACCTAATGACACAAAGATGTCACAGCAGCCACCTTTGCAACGCCTCTAGTGGCAGGAACCAGCTCAAAATAATTAAAGTTATAGAAATATAWAGAAAATTTTATGAAAAATTACACCCGAGACTACAATGCATCAACTGGGTGCAGGGTGGGAGGTTAAGGCCTTAGGCCTCATTACCCATTAATGAACCTGATAGCTCAACTTGGGCTGTTGGGTGTTATTTCACTCAGGAAACTCAGTGCACAGTATTTATAAAATTYGATTCTTAAGGCAAGTCTGTTGCTGTTCTTACCCTTGATATATTGGGATGGGGAGTCTTACTCTCACTCCAACTTGTGCATCTTCTGTCAGACGAAAGCATGAAAAGAAAGCAAAAAGAACACATTTACTAATGAATATTTAACCTACTCGATCTTCTTCCTGAACTACATCACTTAACACTATCTCACAAACACAATAATTGACAATATTTACAGCATTAACAAAATCAATTAACAGTAATTAACAACAAAATAAGCCACAAAGCTKTAAGATTAAGGTTTTTTTCCCGGTTAATTTGCCCAATAGTTTACTCACTGGAATCTCTCCACGCTCGTCCCTCATGGCCCAAAATGGCGGCCGCCTGGAACTTTCCACGCTCCTTTTCTCGCCCCTTCCCTGTTCTTTTCTGATCGCCACGCACCCGTGGGGACCCCGCAGCCGCCAGGGCTCCCCCCTGCTCCTCGCGGCTCCATCCGCGGTCGAGGGGCGGCGGGAAGGCGGGCGGGAAGGCGGGCGGGAGGCGGGCAGGAGACCCCGAGCGAGGAGCGGGCCCGGCCGCCGCGCGCCGCGCGCCCCGCAGAAAGGGCTGCCAGGCGCCCGCCCTCCGCTTATATAGCGGGCGCGACGGCGGCGCGGAGGGGACAATCCGCGCTGCGCCTTCGCTCCCCGCCAGCGCCCCCTGCTGCGCGGGAAGCAGCCGAGGGGAGGGGGCGGGGACACGGGGAGGGACAGGGAAGGACATGGAAAGACAAGGATAATGCCACGGGAAGCAGCCAGGGAGCGGGATGGAGCCACGGGAAGGGGGCAGGGATGGGGATGTGCCACGAGAAACAGCCGGGGATGAGGATGCAGCCGTGGGAAGGGGATAGGGACATGGAAAAGGAGTCAGGCCGGGGGGAGACGGACACATGTCCAGCAGCCAGGCCTGGCCTAAAGCCTCCCGCGCAGACCCAAGGCACAACAGGGGCTGAATCGCCTTTTCCCCGGCTCCACGCTGGCCTTCCCCCATCCCGGCAACACCTCAAGGCTCCAGGGCACCCAAGATGTCCCCGGACAAGGACCATGTGTGGTCCCCGTCTGCAAACGCCCTCACACCCCAACCATCCACACCCCCGTGTTTAAAAGGAAGAATATAAAAGACCACTTAATTTGTCAAGAAAAAAACCGTAATTTTATACAAGCGTGGAAGCTCAGAAGGCCTTGGGACAGAAGTGCCACTTTGCGCAGGGGACAAATGCAAGGAAAGGAAGCGGGACTGGCCCCACTCCGTCTCCCCTCGGGGTACTTTGGACGGTGTTTTGGGGCTGGAGAGCGGAACAGGGAGGTTCCATCACAGGCAGATCCTCCGCTCCGGTCCCCACCGCAGTGACAGAGCCGGGGGTCCCTTCTGGCACCTCCAGCCCTGCCAAGAGCCCCACGTCCCGTGCCCCGTCAGCAGGAAGGTGTCCCTGCTGTCCCCAGCGGCTCTAGGCGCCCTCCGCTCTGCTCTGCAGCTCGCCGAAGACCTCGCGCTGCCTCCTCTTGTCCTTGGCGCGCACGATGGCCATCCTGAAGAGCTTGCAGTAGAGCTCCACGGCCGCGGGGCTGTCATCGTTGCCGGGCACGGGGTAGCTGATGAGGCAGGGGTTGCAGTTCGTGTCCACCACCCCCACGGTGGGGATGTTCATCTTGGCCGCGTCGCGGATGGCCACGTGCGGCTCGAAGACGTTGTTGAGGCTGCTGAGGAAGACGAGGAGGTCGGGCAGGCGCACGCCGGGCCCCAGCTGCACGTGGGCGTTGGTGAGGAGGCCGCCCTGCCAGTAGCGCGTGTGCGCGTACTCCCCGCACGCCCGCGCCGTGCTCTCCACCAGGTGACAGAACTGCCGGTTGCGGCTCACGAAGAGGATGATGCCCTTGCGGTAGGCGACGTGCGCCGTGAAGTTGAGCGCCCGCTGCAGGTGCTGCGCCGTCTGCTCCAGGTCGATGATGTCCTGGCCGAGGCGGCAGCCGAAGATGTAGGGCTCCATGAACCTGCGGGGACACGAGGGCACGGGGAGCRTACGGAATGCCAGCATGGTTGAGGGACCTTTGGAGATCATCTGGTCCAGCCCCCTGCTCCAGCAGGGACACCTACAGCACAAGGCATCCCGTTGCATCCAAAGGACATCTCCAAAGGAGACTCCACAACCTCCCTGGGCAGCCCGTGCCAGGGCTCTGTCAGCCTCACAAGAATTAAGTTCTTCCTCACATGGAGATGGAACTGCCTGTGCTTCAACTTGTACCCACCACCCCTTGCCCACAAGCAGCATTTGGCCCCATCCTCTCTACATGCTCCCCTCAGGTATGTGTACACGTTGATAAGACCCTCTCAACCTGCTCTTCTCCAAGCTAAACAGGCACACCAGGTTCTGGAGGACAGCAACGAAACAGGCAAGACCACAGGTCTATGAGGCAGTCCCAGTCCCGTCCCCCCAACCAGGGACCTCCAAAGAGGTCTAGGGAACCGTGCTGGGTTTCAGCAGGTGCCGGAGCGCGGCGCGGGGTCGCTCACCGGTGCCGGCAGCCCTTCTTGTGGCCCAGGTGCACGCGGGCGTCGAAGAGGTCCTTCAGGGAGAAGAGCTCCTTCACGTTGAAGAAGTCGGGGTGGCCGAGGGGCTCGCTGAGCAGCCTGTCCTCTGCGTCTGCGGCACCAGGGAGGCGTGAGCTCCTTCCCGGCGCTGGCAGCGCGCCAAACGGGACTGCAAGGGCTTGGGGCGCCGGCCATGGCACCCCAGGCCCCGATGTGCCCCTGGCYGGCATGGGACGTGAGGGACAGCGCGAGAGGATGGGGCAGGGGRAGCAGTGGTAGCGCTGGTCGCCTGGCATGGGTGCTGGGGGGTGCGGGGTGGCAGCTGGACAATGCTGTGGGGTGCAGGGGAGTCAAATGGGCAATGCCACGGGGTGCAGGGCTGTGGGCGGGCAATGCTGTGGGGTGCTGGGGTGCAATAAGGCAATGCTGTGGGGTGCAGGGGTGCAGAGAGGCAATGCCGTGGGGTGCAGGGCTGTGGATGGGCAATGCTGTGGGGTGCAGGGCTGT